CGGCACCCCGCTTATGCAAATGAAGCCCAGGAAATTCAAACCCCGGGCTTCATTTGCAAGTGCGGTATGCCTACATTACCCCGCTAGTTCGAACTAGCGGGGTAGTGTAGACATACCCATAAAGAGTAACAGGAAAACAAAATTTAGTATATTAGAAGCCAGAGGAAGAGCAAAGGCAGGGTAGCCCAGTATTCAAAGAGGAGGAAAACAATAACAGAAAATGTCAGAAATGCTAAATGACTTTTTTGTTCCAGTTTTCACCAAAAATATTAGCAGTGATTGGACACTATAGTGAATGCCAATGAAAATGAGGTAGGATCGGAGGCCAAAATAGGGAAAAAACAAGTTAAAAATTAGTTAGATGCCAAAGTCATGAGGCCTGATGAAATTCAGCCTAGAATACTTGAGGAGATAATGGAGGAGATATCTGAGCTATTATTGATCATTTTCAAAAAATCAAGGAAGATTCTAGAGGAATATAGCAAATATATTGACAATCAATAAGAAGGGGAATAAGGACAACCTCGGTAATTGCAGACCAATCAGCTTAACATCAGTGCCTAGAAAGATAATGGAGCAAATATAAGCAATTTGCAAACACCAAGAAGATAGTAAAGTGATGATTAACACTCAGCATGGATTTGTGAAGAACAAATTGTGTCAAACCAACCTAATAACTTTCTTTGCCAAGGTATCAAACCTTGTGGATAAGAGGAAAGTGGTAGTATAACAAGTGGGGTTCCACAGGGGTCTGTTTTGGGACCAGCTCTGTTTAATATCTTCATCAACGATTTAGTTATTGGCATAGAAAGTACGCTTATTAAGTTTGCAGATGATAGCAAGCTGGGAGGGGTTGCGACTAATCTGAATGATAGGGTCATAATTCAAAATGATCTGGAGAAATGGTCTGAGGTAAACAGGATGAAGTTTAATAAAGACAAATGCAAAGTGCTCCACTTAGGAAAGAACAATCAGTTTCACACATACAGAATGGGAAACGACTGTCTGGGAAGGAGTATGGCAGAAAGGGATCTGGGGTTATAGTGGACCACAAGCTGAATATGAGTCATCAGAGTGATGCTATTGCAAAAAAAGCACTCAGAAGCAACTGCTGACCTAATGCCCTGTCTGAACCGGTTCTGGGTGGCCTCATATGCAAGATAGCATCCAATCAATGTCGATGCTATCTTTCGAAAAAGCAGATTGCTTTTTTGTTGCATTTTTGCTGTGTAGACTCTCTCTTTCAAAAAAAGTTTTTCTGGATGATCTCTTCCGGAAGAAGCTTGCAATCTAGAAGTATCCAGGGTATTTAGACACTGGAATAAATTGCCAAAGGAGGTTGTGGAATCTCCATCACTGGAGATATTTAAGAGCAGGTTAGACAGACACTTATCAGGGATGGTCTAGACAGTACTAGGTGATGCCGTGAGGGCAGGAGACTGGATTGGATAACCTCTTGAGGTCCCTTTTAGTTTTAGTATTCTACGATTCTAGTTGCTCTGATATGTAAATAACTTGCTATCTTTTAACCATCATAATGTATTTTTTCAGCATGGAGATTTATTTTATTGACAAGGTGCAAGGTGAATTAAGGATCCAAGTTCTTACTCATTCTGCTTGATGTTTGCAAGATGTGTAATGACCTCTTTGTGGCACAGTCTTTCCAAACACTTATGACAGTTATTTCAGATTTTGCTGTGGAGTTGTGATTATTGTATGTGCACATTTGACTTCTGAATGTTGAAAGACTGGTTCCAAAGGTGCAAATAGCACCTTCTTTTCTTGTTAATGAAGCAAGGCTTGGGTAGCATATAAAGCTTTTGAAGAAAAAATATTCTTAGACATGAAAGCAAATAGAAAGGGGGATAAAATACAACATGTAATTATCAAAGATAGATCTTACTAAACTAAATGGATATCTTTATAATTGACTTTTTTAAGACAAGGGAAATGTACTAGATTTAATCTATTTGGACGTTAGTAATGGCTCAGACATAGTATTATACAGGAAATTATTTGTTAGTATTGGAATTAAAAGCGGGGTTAGTGAATGGTGTTGAAAGGAGAACTTTTAATATAAAGTTCACGAGTGTATTTTCATTAATGATCTTGGGACAAAAAGTAGGAGTGTGCTGAAGACAAAATTGGGAGGTAGCAATATAGAGGAGGGTCAACATATCTAAGAAGAAATGGATGACCTTGAGGACAGAAGTAATAGAAATGGAATGAACAGTACAAAGTGCAAAGCCACGTATATAGGGGCTAACGGGTATTTTTTGATAGAAGCTGTGATTCATCAGTTGAATATGAGTGAGGAGGAGAGAGGCCTGAGTGTATGGATGGATCACAGGATGACTATGAGCCACTAATATAAGATGGCTGTGAACAACGTAAATATAGACCTAGGACTGTATCAGGCAAAGTATTTACAGTGGGGAGAGGGAAGTATTAATGCCACTGGACAAAAACAATGCCAAGACTTACTCTGGAATACTGTGTACAATTCTGTTTACCATGTTAAAGAAAGATGATTCAAACTGGAACAGATGCAGAGAAGAGCTACTAGGGTGATTAGGGGTACAGAGAATATAATTTTTGAGAGGAAACTAAAAACTTGGCTTGTTTAGCCTAGCAAAAAAGTTGGCTGAAATATGGTTCTTCTCTATAAATAAATACATCGGGTAAAATCCCAGGGAAGAAAATAATTATTTAGTTGGCACAAGAACAAATGCATATAAATTGGCTGTAAACATATTCAAGCTGGAAATTTCTAAGCATCAGAGAAGTGAGGTTTAGGAACAGCCAACCACTAGAAGTAATGGGGGGCACAAAACCAACTTATTTTAAAATGGTGTTTAATAAATGTATGCACGAGTCCTTCCTTTGATTTCTCTTGTTGCAGTAAGATAGTTCCTTTTTTGCTTTTGCTTGGTGGAATGAGGACAATCATGGGACACAGTTGTACCAAGATACAAAATATATCAGGACAGAAGAGAGGCTGGTAGGGGAGTGGCACTATATGTGAAAGAAAATGAAGGATCAGATAAAGTAAAGCCCTAAATCGAACTACCTGTTATTCCTCCTGCAAGGAGGTTTAACAGGTAGTTCGATTTAGGGGCTTTAATTTGAAATACCAGGTCCCTGCTGTGTGTAGATGCGGGCAGTTAGTCCGGATTTGTAAATTTCAAAAAATGGTGACCGGCCGGGAAGATGCAAATCAAGTGCGGGATATTTAAATCCCAGGCTCGATTTGCAACTTCAAATGCCTATATTGGCCTACCTCGTTCGAACTAGGGGGCTAGTGTAGACATACCCTCAGAGCTCTACTGTCTTTGCCTTCTGGGGATCTGAGAACTTCTGGCAAACACGGGCATTTCTCCACAAGACAAATAAATGTTGAAGTAATTAAATATAGTAAGAACTCAAGTGAATACCATTATACAACTCATCAGTGTATCTAAATATCATCCCGTTTAAAGAAGCATGTGTGGTACTCATCCTGCAATGTTATATAACATGGGTATCTGTGAAAATGGGGAGCATTTAAAAATATTGCATATTTAAACCTCTTGTTGTCTTGCACGTATGCCTAATGCAAAGGGTCTAGCCTAGATATCAAAGAACAGCAGACTATTTGAGTCGCTGGGTATATGCACACATACAGACATGATGAATTTGGTGGCAGTATTCCAGAAAAGGGATAGTGAAATCACTTGTCACTTCAAGCTTTCTTCCTGGCTGTTAAAGAAGGGTGTCTGTTCCTTGCTATCAACTTTCAAAAATAAAATGCATGCTTGGTCATACAATATTATTGCAGTTTTTGATCCTGAGAACAAAAATGAGAATATGAAAATAACCATACAAATGAGTATTCCACCTCTTGGCAAAGCAGCCAAAACCAATTTAGAATGAAGCTTGCTCCATAAATGTCAGCTCACAGCCTTTGAATATGTTTATGAGAACAAGGCTCATAAATATTTTATGATCATGTTTAATGCAATTTAATTATGGAAACTGTAAACAATATTGTATATGTTTTGACTTCCAGGTTAGGTTTACATCTGATTTTTAAGGTAGGAACACTTTTTTGTGCAAAAACTTGCGGAGCGTCCACACTATAAGTGCATTCTTGTACAAGAAAAAGTACAGTAAATCGTAAGAACACAGGGCTTTTTGCACAAGAGTTATTCCTCTTTCTATGAGGACTAAGCCTTTTTACGCAAGCGCTCTTGCACAAAAAGGCATATATGGATGAGTAACAGGGCTTTCTTGCACAAGAAACCCCTATGGCTAAAATGGCCATCAGAGTTTTCTTGCACAAGAGAGCACACTGCCATGGATGCTCTTGCGCAAAAGCACATCTCTAGCACAAAAGCACTTGTCAATGTGGATTGGCTCTTGAACAAGAACTCTTGCGCAAAAAGTTCTTGCGTAAGAAGCCTGCAGTGTAGATGTAGCCTTCTAGTTATAATACTGGCAGAGATAGGAATGTGGCACACTAGTATTAAAGAGTGAATGAAATTGAATGGATATAATCAGGGACAGCATGCTGTATAGGTGGCTTCTGGGCAGATCATAAATGTGAAAAGTCTACATAGGGGCTGTTTATAGAATCATAGGAATGTAGGCTGAAAGGGACATCAAGAGATCAGCTCAGTGCTGTGAAGTCTTTTGTAATCATTCTGTCAGGAATTTGTCCAGAAGTATTGCTACTCTGCAATGGAATGTTGGAACAGCACTGAATGAGCACCATTTTGGAAAAAAAATTTAAGGTTAAGCAAATGAATGCATTTTAACAGAAGAAAATTGAGTTGATGCACACCATATATCTTTTCCAAAGAATTTACTTTACTCATGATGGTTTTTTTTTTAATGTTTTCTAGGATAGTTTTCCAGCTCGGTTTGGAGGAATTCATTTTGTCAATCAACCATGGTATATCCATGCCCTCTACACAGTTATCCGACCCTTTTTAAAGGAGAAGACACGAAAAAGGGTATTCTGTTTGTTTTTTGTATTGTTAAACAATGATAGTCTGTAGATGTATCATAGGTTATGTCTACACTGCAGAGCTTTTCCGGGATACCAGAGGTTATCCTGGAAAAGCTCTATCACATCCAAGGAACACATCTGCTTTTTCAAAAACCTCATTCTATGAGGAAGAAGAGATGTTTCGAAAGAGGGCTTTTTCTGACATTTGGCCCTGTGTAGATGGGCCAAATGTTGGAAAAGCCTCTTTCGGAAGAAAAGCGGAAAAAGATACGCAAATTGCACTTTTCAATTTGCGTATCTTTTTCCGACTTTTCTTTGTAGTGAAGACATAGCCATAGTGTACTGAAAATAGATGTGCTCAAAATCTCCAGTGGGTGTTTGTGTCACTCATTTCAATATGATTTTAAAGATTTCTGTTATGAAGAATGTCTCCCCTGCCACAAAAATATACATGTCTTTATCCTTTTAGACTCCAGTTCAGCAAAGCACTTAAACCTATTTTATTTTAAGAATGTGAGTCCCAGTGGGTTGAGTGATAGACAGGTAAATATTTTAACCAGTGCTCTTTCATAAGAAATGAGCACATAATGATTTTTAAAATTACTTCAGGGTTTTTTTTTAATATATATATATATAGTGCCTTATTCTTCTCTGGGGTAACCACATTGACCAAGAATGGCTGGTCTTCCTTTTGACAAAGTTGCCTTCTATACTTTCTCCCTATTTATCAGAATCAAATCTAGAATAGCCTTCTGGCCCAGTGAGGTTTTTTTTAACCTTCTTCAATAAAAGTTTCCAGTGCATTCTGAGAATTTGTGAATAACTGTGTGCTCTCAGAAGAGTTGAAGTTCCTCATCACTATCAAATCCTGTGCTTTGAATGTAATTTTTAGGGGGTTTGTTTGTTATTGAAAAACTTTCATCTGCGTCTTCTGGGTTTGATGGTCTATGGCACTGGTTCTCTGCCAGGGATCCATGGGCCCCAGCAGATTTTAGGGGGTCAGTCAAAATAAACTGGGCTTCATCCCTAAGTAGGAGGGCTTAGGAAGAAAGCATTACCTCCACCTTCTGACTCACCTTGGCAAGCCCTCTGCCTGTCTGGATTGGAGGTACACAACCAAAATGTGCAGAGTTGGTACAGATCTCTTCCCCTATCACATCAGAAGAGATTGCTTCACAGCTGTTGACTCCATGAGCAGGCAGCAGCTCTCCAAGGAGACACACCATCTCTGTGCCCTGCCACCTCAGCATTTGTGACCCACAGGTCCCCCTTGAACCACCTCTGGTTGGGGAGGGATTGGGATACAGGAGAGGATTTGAGGTCTGGAAGGGAGTTTGGGTGATGGAGGCAGTCGTGACCTGCCTTAGGGGACTAGGGTGAAGGGTTTGGGTTGTGACCTGGGGCAAGAGGGGGTTGTGACTTGGGGCAGGAGACCGGGGTCCAAGAGAGGGTGCAGGGGTATGGGTTGTGACCTGGGGCAGGGGATTGGGATGCAGGATCTGGGAGGGTATATGAGTACAGGAGGGGGACAGAGGGTTTGGATTATGTGGGGTGGGGGACAGAAGTTTGGGGTATCAGAGGCTGTCTCCAGCTGGGAGACCTACCTGGTATAGGTCTATGTGGTTTTTGAACAGCTACAAGCCGGGGGAGGGGGAAGGGTGTTTCCCAAGCTGCCTGTTGACAACAGGCAGCTTCTATTGATCGGAAACTGGCCAATGGGATTGTGCTGGGGTGGGAGCAGAGCATGAAGCTTTTCCTTCCCTCTCCCCCCACCCGGCTCACAGCTGTTCAAACAGAACCCCGCAATGGCTGCATTTCTCAGCAGCGTGCGGCGGGCAGGCAGAGAATCTGCCTGAGGCTCCCCACTGCATCCGCATGCTGGATCTGGCAGCTTGGTGGACCGGATCTGGCCCACGGAGGGTATTTTGCTCAGGTCTGGGTTTGGGGGTGTTTAGTTAAAGAAGGGCTGAGAATCACTGTCCTCGGTCACTTTGTTTCTGAGAGAACTCAGTGACTGTTTAAAGGCTAGTTGGTAAAAGCCAATATTCATTTCTTATGGAATTATCAAACTTAAAAAAATATAGATTGGATAGTGTCTTGTAATGTGTTGAATATTTATCTTCTTAGGCACTTGATCTTGTAAACTCTTTAGGTGGAACTGTTCATATGCTTAAAGTGATTCCCTTGTGTATTTGTAGGCTCATAGACACAACATGATGGCTCAAGGCAGGGATTCTATCTGCCTCCATTGGAACATCTCTTAGCCCAGTAGGGCCCCAGTATAAATATTTATTACCAGTTATAATAATGATATTATTTTGGGGTGTGTAGATTTGTGACGTTTTTGGTTTTATCCTCACATGAACAGATATTTCTGCATGGTAATAACCTCAACAGCCTGCATCAGCTAATTCATCCTGAGATCTTACCTTCTGAGTTCGGAGGGATGCTGCCACCCTATGACATGGGCACATGGGCGAGAACTCTGCTAGACCATGAGTATGATGATGACAGTGAGTACAATGTGGACTCCTACAGCACTCCTGCAAAAGACCTAGAAAAGGATCTCTCTCCCAAATCCATGAAGAGGTATGTTAAATCAGCTTTCGAGGCATCCCAGCACTTTTGTGGTGTTAATACTTCCTTAATTCCCTATAGTAGTTGCTCTTGATGCCATAGCTAATTTCTCCAAATGATTTATAACCTGGGAAACCATTTTAAAAATGTCTGCGAAGCTGATTTTTATAACAGTAATCATAACCAGTGGGACTGTGAGCCTATTATAATTTCTTCAATAGTACTCGGCACAGCATGGACAAGAAATGAAGGTCCCTCATCAAGTTGCTTACAAGAGATTAGCCTACATGTGGACCAAGTAGTGGGAGAAAGAGAGGGTACGTCTACACTGCATCCCTAGTTCGAACTAGGGATGCAAATGGAGACAATCGAAGTAGTTAATGAAGCGGGGATTTAAATATCCTGCGCTCCATTAACATGATCTCGCCGGCGCGCTAGTTCGAATCACAGCTGATTCGAACCAGGAAGTGCGCGCCGGGACGCGTTAGTTCGGACTAAAGCCCTTAGTCCGAACTAATGTTACTCCAAAAATGAGGAGTAACATTAGTTCGGAAGCGCGCTAGTTCGAATCACAGCTGATTCGAACCAGGAAGTGCGCGCCGGGACGCGTTAGTTCGGACTAAAGCCCTTAGTCCGAACTAATGTTACTCCTCATTTTTTGGTTCGAATCAGCTTCCTGGTTCGAATCAGCTGTGATTCGAACTAGCGCGCCGGCGAGATCATGTTAATGGAGCGCGGGATATTTAAATCCCCGCTTCATTAACTACTTCGATTGTCTCCATTTGCATCCCTAGTTCGAACTAGGGATGCAGTGTAGACGTACCCAGAAAGAACAGAACCTAACAAATATCTTGGTATGCTGAGATTTCTTTGTATAGTTAGTATAATTATCTTGCCGTCATATAGCATGAGGACAGGATGTGCTAGTTATTGGTGAAAGGCTAACTGGAACAAGTATAGTTTTTAGGAAGGCGAGCAAGATGTTTTGGTACACTAGAGGAGTGATGCTGTTTCAGGCTTGGAAGATAGTATGAGAAAAAGGTGCAAGACTGCAGATGGAATGATAGGAAGGCAGAGTTGTCAGCGTGCAGGGCATAGGCAGATAGAAGTAGCAGGCAATGAGAGCAGAAATATAAACAGGGAAGAACAATGTTGAGCCTTGAAAGTGAGGATAATGGGGCAAATCTACTCTGTGACGCTAATTCAAATTCAGACCTGAAGATCCAATTCAAAGAGATTGAGTTTGGCACAGAAAGAGAAAGGAAGGCAGTGGAGGAACTAGAGCAGAGGGAAGCATTTTCAGAGTTGTGGGCAAGGAAGATCATTTTGACTGAAGGTCTCTCTGCGTTGGAGAGGGGCTAGATGAGAGCAGTAAAAGTAGAGAGTAGTATTTAATGGATGAGGCTGTTAAGATTAACCATTGAAGGCTGGAGCAGCTCCCTACCTGCTGCATGCAGAGGCCTGCTCTAGCCTTGTGGGGCCTACTGCAGGCAAGGTCTGCTCCAGCTGTTCTGGAGCAGACAACCCAGCAGTAGGCAGAGGAAGGGTGCTCCAGCCAGCTTGGAGTGACTCCCCCACACCCACCCTCCCCTTTAATTGGTTAACTGGTTCAACACTATGTTTAACTGGTTAACCAATTAAACAGGATTTTACATCCCTAGAAAGCTCTACGGCTTCAGTGCATTAAATATAGTGTGTTAAAATGGCATTGAGGCTAAGATAGACAGTGACAGGAGTAAGGAAAAATCAGAGTTAAGGCTGATGTTATCACCTTGACTGACTTGTTTTGCTGAGGTTTACATTGGTATGGTATCGAACAGCACACATGACTGATTTGTTTTGCCTTGACTGCATTCATTGTGGTATGCAGCAGCACACACTGCTTTCTGACATCTGTTGTAAAAAGAGAGCAAACAAAGAGTGGAGTGACAGCCGACTGAATTTCTAGGCTTTTGTATGTGTGTCAGAGCAACTGTTTTCTTCTTTAACTTCTTTTGGTATCTCAGTAATTATTGGACCCACAAGATAAACTTCCTCAAATCCAGTCCTATCAAGAATGTTATTATTCTGTCATTCAGCTTGCTTCCATATATCTTCTTTAAATCCATAGTGTATACTTCAGAAATGCCTCAAAGCTCATCTAAGTCTTCTGGGATTGGGTAAACCAAATGTGAAAAGCAGGATGATCTCTTATTTAAGGGTACAGTACTCCGAAACCTGAGTTGTAGTCTCAGCTAAACTTCCTGTGCCTGTCTCTCATTTGTACTAAAGCTCCTGTGCGACTCAACTTTGGAGTGCTTCAGTCTCTAAAATGGGCGTTAACAACACCAATCTATTTCATAGGGTGGGAGGAGATAGAAGATTTTTTCAAAATACAGTAAACTTCTGATAATCCGGCACCTTTAGGACCCAGGGGGAGCCGGATTATCAGATTTGCCGGACTATCGGAAGGGGGGGCTATGAGGGGCCTGGGGTGGGGCAGGATGCCACCCCAGACCCCTCATAGCCCCCCCTTCTGACAGTCAGGCTGCTGGTCAGTTTCAGCAGCGGCTGGATTG